AGTGAATATCTGTTCATTCGCTTATTGGTTCAATCTTCACAGCTTAAACTAACCTGCAAAGACTGAATCAATTCAGCCTTGGGCTTTTTGGCTGTCTGTACTTAGCCCTGAAGTATTGTGCTCCATGTTTTAAGAAGGATGTGGAGAATTAGAGAGGGTCCAGATGCAGGTGACAAGGATGATAAAGGGCTTGGAAAGCAAGGCATGCTAGGTGAGGATGAAAGAACTAGATATGTTCAGCTTGCAGAAAAGATGCTTAAGAGAGAACATGACAGCAGACTTCAAATACCTGTAGGGCTGCCATAGAGAAGAGGGGAAATCCCTTTTCTGTCTTGCTTAATAGTGAGATGTAAAAGGTAAGAGGTAAAGTAGTAAGAATCAACAAAATAGCTTCTGAAATAGCGACCCTTGGCAATGGCAATGACTGAATAATACTGCAGCTTCCTGAGCTGAAACTAAAAAGAGGTATTCACTTATTATCAATATTGATGTGTTCCAGATACCTAGGCTACAACGTGTATTAATAGTGAAATTACTTACCACCAGATTATTTTTAGCCACCACTAATTAAATCTTACTGTAGAGGCTAGGGTACAGACCAATGGCTTGAAGTTGCAGCAAAGTAGGTTTAGATTGCATAGCAGGAAAGAACTTCTTCACTGTTGAAATAGCGAGGCAGTGGAATAGATGGCCTAGGGCAGTGGTTCTCAAACTTTTTTTTTCACGGACCACTTGAAAATTGCTGAGGGTCTTGGCAGACCACTTAAACTTTTTTTGTTCTACAAATCAAAGCACAACACTCTTATTTTAATATCAGCAGTCTTACCTTACAAATACAGATATTCTCGATTGTTCCGTAACCTTTCTGAGGGCCACCTGAATGGAGCTCGAGGACCAGTGGTGGTCCACAGACCACAGTTTGAGAACCTCTGGCCCAGGGAAGTTATGGACTCTCCATCACTGGAGGTGTTCAAGAAGAGGTTGGACAGAGTCACTGGTCGGGGATGATATAAGGCTAGCTATACCTATGTTCTAATATGGGTATTTCTGATATTTTGGGGGTTTGCTGGTTTTCTGGGATTTTGACTGGGATGTATCAATGCTCCTGCTGGGACTTAGGAGGTTCCTGGCTAGAAGGTCTTGCCTCTCTGCTCCGGTTCATACTGTTTGCCAAAATTCAGGAAGGAGTTTTACCTTATGGCCAGATTAGTATGGACTCTGGGGCCTGTTACCTTTCTCTATACCAGGAGGTGTGGTTCGCTTCCTGGGAGCTCTTGAGCTTATATTAACAACATTTACAAGAGCAGGACATTGGCTGCTGTGGTCCCCCTGCTTTACCTGTGACAGGTTAGTGGGTTATGCCATGTGTCTGAGTCGGGGCTGACTGTGTAGTTTTGCCAGTAGGTTCAGCAATGAATTTGTATAGGAAGGTTTGGAGAGACGTGATCCTACCTCTCTGATGGTCTCATCCAGCCCTACTTTCTATGATTCTTTTTATCCTGCCCTGTATATTTGTGTAAAGGGTAATGGCTAGTGCCAGAGACGCAGAAAGGCCAAGACAAAGGAGACTGTGGTAGATGGGTTGGAAGCACAAGGTACAGGATCAGGAGCGGCATAGGAGAGCGTTACTGCGAAGCAAGCTAGAGTCTGAATGTACAGTGCGATGGTTATTCTGCCGCAAGCGCTCACGTGCAAGCCGTTATCCTGCAGTTAACGTGAGCGAGCTTTGCTCACGTTCGTGGAAGGGCACACCACCATGCTTGTAGCTACAAGAGCAGGATTGGA